GATACTTTACTCCTACTTTGTGTTTAGCCTCAGTTTGTTTTTTCTTTTAATGTCCTGAGCTAACAAGGCTGTGATGGGGCTTAAGATTTCCAGTCTACTAGGGTAAGAAAGATGAAAAAGATAAAAAAAAGTTATTTCTCAAGAACACCCTCTCAAGTATTTTCTGTTGATATGACACTCAGCAGAAGATTCTCTGTAGCAAAGTGCTACAGAGAAAGTGCCTGCTTCACTCCTGTCCACTTTTCCAGTTAAAGTGATATTACATCTAAACTCCTGCTTCACTTCTCAGCTAAACTTGCACCTGTGTATCAACAATAAGTATATTAAGAAGAACAGACAAATGTGTTGACTCTCTTCTCTTCAACATTTCTTTTTCAAACCTTTCTTGATAGCTTCCTCCCAGAGAGAGGAGTGTGTGCAAACACTTGTTCTCCACATCAAGCCTGACTGAACAATTTCTCTGCTATTCTGAGTTTCTGGTGAACTGAAAATTACCAGCTGTACTGAATTGTGACAAACACTGTGCATGTGTGTCTCTGTGTGTGGAAGAAAATATATCATACCCAATGACAGCAAAATAGGTTTCACATTTATGACCAAATCTAGCATTTTAATTCCATAAAATACAAATGCAGCCTTAATGTCTAACTAAAGCTTATTTCTTCAAGCCATCACAGAAGCATATAGAGAGCATATGCAGAACAAGAATTCTCTAATGCCTTTCCTTGAGATGTAGTCAACGACAAGGACAACAACGATGTAAATGCAGTCATCATTGCACAGATTTGAAAAAGAAAATGAGATTGCACTAGGAAAGAAGACAGGTATTTTAGAGGTATTCAGCTTCCACTGCATACTTCAGGATGGCTGATCCACACACAGATATACTCAAAGCTGATCAATATCAAGCTGATTTCCAATGACAATAGAAACTCATTCAACTGCAGTAACATATTTGCCACCCTTTGATGTCTACATTCTTAGCATTAACATGTTAACAATCTAAGCTTTCTCTGTGTGTGCCACATCACTCCCTCCATGTCAAAATAAACCACAGTAGCTATATCAAAAGTGTGGTCACAACCCAGCTAGCTAAATTCTTGCCAAAAATTGACTTCAATAGCTGTCTACAGAGTCTGCCAGAATACTGTCAGCCAACTCATACCATGTGTGCCTTTTAGGGTCATGGCTTTAAAAGAACGCAGAATTGCTAAAATCTGTCCATCTTTTCAGCTGGAACCCTCTCCATCCCTCATGAATTATAGTCACATCTAATAGGAAGGAAATAGACAAAAGCCATCTGCACAGAGCACACCTAGGAGAAAGTAAATAAAGCTTTCAGATCCTGAGTGGGAGCACTTCATGATGGCAAAATTGGACTGCCCAGACTGAGATGCATAGTTGCATCCTAAAAATAACTGGTTTTAAATCACTTTCTATGAACTACATGTATCTGAGAACCTGGGAGACAACAATTCTTCCTGAGTATTCAGTTAATTGAAATCCATACCTGATTTTCTTCAGGGGCACTGTAAAAAGTGCCACTTTTCTGTATGTCATGGTCTGGGTAATCTGTTCCCTTGACATGACTGCTCTGGCAGGCCTCTTCACAGAAGGTTTTCAATCAAATATGGTCCCTCTTTCACCAAAAGTTTGTAGTTCTGGGCAGGGATATGAGCAAGAACAGCAGACTTTGAAAGTCAAAGACATGACAGTAATTTCGTTGTAATCATGACTGTATAATAACCACTACATCTGCACAGAAAATCTCTACATTGTAAGTGCAGCAAGGCCACTACACCTGACAGGTGATCTGTGCTGTTTGTGCACAGCAGCATTGCAGTGAGACTGTGGGAAACAAGACCCCTCCAATGTTTAAGTGTAGAAACCGGTGGTTTTTATTTTACCCAGCAGAGCTGGCACTGACACAGACCAGCAGCATGCTAACATGTCCAGCAGACTGCAGGAGAGATGGCTTGCCACAGAGTCCATTCTGGTGGATTTAAGGGGTAATGTCCTTGGGTCTCTTTCACAGACTCAGAATCTCAGGATTATGGGCTAGAAGGAAGTCACTGATGAACTAAAAAATGAGACAACCTCTGATTACCCCCCACTGCTACTGCTGTTTATTCTGCTCTGAGTATTTGCCATATCCACACTTGCATGAAGATTTGCATGCAATGTCTGTGTGTCCAGGATTACCCTTATTCAGATGGCATGAAGGGACAGTGCTCTGATCTGGCAAAGATGAGGGACAAGCACTGCAGACCTGCATTCTGTGCAGAATGGATAAAGTGAGATAAACTAAAGAGGATGTAAGTTGAAAAGAAAAGAAAAATCCAGAAGGAGCAGAAAGAAAATAACAAGAGACGGCAGAGAAAAGAAGGACCAGAGTGGACAAAGAGAAGCATCTGTAAAGGAAGTAAAAGAAGATGAAAACACCTTGGGAGACTGAAATACCCAGCTTCAAAGACCTGGGCTTCTACTGAACATGAGCTCATTTCACAGTAAACTCCACCAGCAGGAAACTCTGCATGCCCACGTGCAAGGGAAGTGGTGGCGACAGTGAGGTCAGTGGTGGCACTAACTTCACATACCATTTGGGAGGTGGGAGATGGCACAGGGCAAGGGGATGCAAACAGCTTCACCAGAACACTTCCAGGAGAAGAGAAAGTGACTGGTAGAAAGCTCCCCCATTCTCCATCTTTAATCTATAAAGGTTGATGAACTTCTCTGCATCTCTGTCCTTGTCTTTTCAATGAAAGAATCCTGCTAGCTTTCTCATAATGGCAGAAATAATTGAAAAGGGGATCAACTTTAGCGGAACATAAACACACACCAAAAGTCTGTCTCTTTAATGGTATCCCCTCCATACTTCACTGGTAGGCATTCTGCTAATCTAGTACCTGTTAATTCTATTTCTAATTAGGGCTATAGCTCACCAGAGGCTGTTTTATACTTAATTTGCTGGGGTTTTATTATATGGCTCAACAGTCAGCCAACCACTGTATGCATCATGTGATCCTGGTCGAGATCTTTCAGGCATTACTGCACACTGAGGCCCTTGGAGAGAACGTGCCACTACAATTTGTGAGTCACGCGTTCTTGCTCTGCCTAGGTCTTGTCATGTGTGTGCTTGTCAGGATTCATCTCCATCTCCATTACCCCTGAGGCAGAAGTCATAGTTTGTTTCTGCTCACTTGTCTGATTTTTAGCAGATCATATTCCCATCTTCAGAACCTTAAGCAAGTGCCATCTTTGTAGAATTTAAGGTGGAATTCTAAGCGGTGATTTAATTCAACTCAAACCCATCTTCTAATTGACAGGAAATATCCTTAGTTAGCCATTTTCCAAGGCTGATGTAGACTGCTATACAAAAATATAATTAAGTTAAAAGCATTGTTCACTGTTACCAAAATGAAAACTGATTTTCTTAGGTGTTTTTCTTGTAATTCTGTCATTTTAAAAATACTTCCTTTTAAGAGTTTGAAATGAAGATCTGAGTCAAATTTTAATTGTTTGAAACACATATCTGAGAGACACATCTTCATTAATTCAATTTTTGCTGGAAAGGTTTGCAACCAAATTATGAACCAGTTGAAGTATTAGCTGGGAAATTACATGGAGAAAAATAAGAAATTACAGACAAGCAAAGTCCATGGGGCTTTATTGACCAGAACAGAATATAGACCAATGAAGAAACATTTTATTAACCAACTGGAAGCCAGCCCAGGGGACTGACCAAAATTTGTTTTGCCTCTAGAACATCAGCTGCCAGGTAAACAAGAGTATTAGAACATCGTTGACTCCAAACTGGTGGGCAAAGAAGGTCATCAACAGCTGTTAAATAGTAAACCTCATCCTCCATCTCTGTGGGTCCAAGAAGAATGACACTTAAAAATTGTTCAGTCACACACTGAGAGTGATGGTAGCACTTATTATGTCATCTTAAAACAACAAATTGGTTCCAGAGAACCACTGTCCTTCTTATCTGAATTCACAAAGGGCTTAACAGTCACACAAGAAATTCCCACAACTGGGAATTGCAGACCTTACAGAAACAGTATAATGGAACTTCTTGCCTATCTTCAGATAGAAAATAACCTCAGAAAATTCCTCCTTTCTCCACTGTCATCTGGAAGGGTTTTACTGGAATACATGGAGAGTACGAATCAAGATAACACTGGCTGCTGTGGAAAACCTTCAAAAACAGTACGTTAAATAAAAAGTAAAATAATAAAAATTTACAAATCCATATAATCCATGTATAAATATAAATAACCAAGTCAGCCTATCTATCATGCATCTAGTAACTTTAAAGATGTGACCTAGCTCCAGACTGCTCAAATGAGCAGTTGTTCTAGATCTGGTTTTGTCTACAGAAGCATGGTTAGTCAGATAATCTTCTGTGGTATTTCACTGGGAAAACTACAGGAATCGGAGCGCCTAGATTGAGAAGTTCATGGCAAAGTGAAACAAGGAAGCTGGGCCTCTACCCACTGAGTGTGTAGCTGAACAAGTCACAACTGGCAATTCAGAAGTGGGGTCAAGTTACCCTGCATCAGCTGTGGAAGATTACTTGTTACAGGTAGAGTTCTAAAAAGGAAGACCTTGCACAGAAGAATAAAATAGAGAGGATAGATTTGCACAATGCATATTGAAATTATGCACATTGGTGTTACTCTGTGCTAGGTAAGCATAATAAACTTCTCTGAAAGACGATGAACACAAAATCATAGAATCATAAAATGGCCTGGGTTAGAAGGGACATTAAATATTATCAGTTTCAAGGCCTCTGCCATGGGCAGGACACCTTCCACTAGACCAGGTTGCTCAGACAGAGCTCCATCTAACCTGGCCTTGAACATTTCCAGGGATGGGGCATCCACAATTTCTCTGGGCAACTTGTTCCAGTGCCTCATCACCCTCACAGTAACAAATGTCTTCCTAAGATCTAATCTAAACCTACTCTCTTTCAGTTCTAAACCGTTCCCCCTTGTCCTATCACTACATGCTCATGTAATAGGTCCCTCTCCATCTTTCTTGTAGGCTTCCTTCAGGTACTGGAAGGCTGAAATTAGGTTGCTCCAAAGCATAGGAATGATGGTCATGTCCATTGGGAGTCTTCAGACAGAAAGACTTGGATTCTTAACCAGTAAGTGTCTATCCCAGGGACTGCTGGAGATAGGAAGGAAGGATGTAACAAGGGAGGAGTCACTCCAGAAATGCCCAGTTCCTTAGTTCTTCTGCAGGATCTGCTGCTGGCTCATCAGGCAAAAAGTGCTAGGCTACATAGAACTTCTCTGCACACAGAGCAGCTCTTCTGCTCTCAAGTCTCCTGTCACTGGTATTCTCTCCTGTTTTCAGCTCCATTTCCATGCAGTGCTACCATCCCTGGACTCCTTAAGAAGGATTGTAAGCATCAAGGGACATTACTGCTGATGCGATCACCAATGACTGCTGCTGGAAATCCATGCAGAAATATGTTCTGTGCACAGGGAAGCAGAGAGCAGCAACACCCAAGTCTCCTTCCCTCTCTCCCTTCCTCCCCCTGTAGTTGACATTCAGGGACTGTAAGTCCCACTATCTCCTGTCAGGATAGTTCCATTCCTTGGGGAAGGGGTTAGCAATAGCAAGCCATGCCTTAGCAGCAGTGTGCCGTCCCACATGTGTAAAAATCAGTATGTGCAGGTAGAAATCTGATTTTAGCCAAGATTTTTTGGATGTGCAAGAATGAAGAGTAAGAGCAAATCCATGTACACAGGCTGATCAAACTAACACTGTTTTGCTTGATCTAATTTTGAGGCTAATTTTCCTCACAGAAGGGACAGAGCCTCTGAGCAGAACTTGTGGGTGGAGGCCCTAAGGGAATTTGATGAGAGCAGCTAAGGCCCATTAATGCACTTAGGACCCTGACACAATTTTTCTAGGACATATGCAACAGGAGAGGTGAAAAAGTACCAAGGAACTTTGACCTGAGACAAATATATTTGTTTACTATTAGATATTTATCTGTTGTTAGATATTTACTGTTGTTAGATGTTTATTATTACTGTTAGTGATTTACTATTGTTACTTATCTGTTATTAAATATCTATTTTTAGTAGATATTTAGAATAGAGACTTGACAAGGTAAAGGCCTCAAAAGGGGGGAAATGATACCTTAATCTTTAGCTTTCATATTTTTTCGATTCTGTACTGCCTTAGTGTGTGACTCTGAACTTCATACAAAGTGTTAGCACGTTCTCTTCACAGTTCAGTTAGACCAAACAATCCTTTTCCAGCTTGGGAACCAAGGACACCATTGCAGCCTCAGGCCCAAAAGGTATAAACAACAGCAAATTGATGAGAGCAGTCTGGGAGGATGGGACTTCATAACCTGAAGCAGGAATTGGACAATTAAGCCCAATATGTAAATGGCCCAAAACTTTAAAACGTTTGAAAACTCATGACCAGTTGTCCATCTTGGGTCCATCTTGGGTCCATCTTGGGTGGAGCCATGGCTGGGCTCTTGAACTGCTCCAGGTGCATCCTTTAAAGGTCTTTTAACAAATACCTGCTTTGTTCCTTTAACTCTGTCTAGCCTCTGTTCCAGGTCAGCCTCTTTAGGCATCAGTTCAGCCAGCAAAATAAGAAGCCCCAGCTGTTCCAGTGTGGTCCATGCCATAAGAGTGTCAGAGTCAGACGTTTCCTCTCTCATAGTTTTGCCCCAGAACACTTGAAAAAAGAGCAAATAATGGTTAGCACAAATCTGCAGTGAGCATGCCCAAGAGAAGAGACAGCCACCCTTTTTGCCACTTTCCATGTTATCGTCTGCTACATTTTCTTTCCTCACATCCAAAAAAGCCAGCAACAAACAAACTCTGAAGGGAGGTTAGGAGGAACATTAAAGGGTTTGAGTTGCAATAGATTTTTAAAACAATCATGATGAAATTTAGCACAAAGTACTATATTTTTAGTGTTTTCAAAATACATGGTTTATATGGCAAGACTACAGAGACCTACCTTTGGATTTCTCAGCTTTTGCTGTTTTCAAATTCACTCATAGGATTCTGATTGTTACTTTTTTTTAAGTGAGTTTCTTCACAAGAAAACAAGTAGTTGGTTGAGTCCATGAACTAATGCAGCCTAATCTTGAACAGCTTTTGTGCTTGTGAGAACTGACTTTTAAACTTTTTTTATGCCTTTATTATTGACCAGAGAACAAGTCAATACAGGAGCAAAAACCTTCCAGCAGAGCAAGATCCCATGTTACCTGCAGGAAGCATTTCCTGTGGCTGATCAATCATAACAACTCCTTTCCAAGAGTTTCTCTGGCAGATAACCTAGGCAGCTATTTTTCCACCCATAAAGATTAAGAGTATCAACCTTACCTACTGTGTGTCTAATTCACAGAAGGGAGGGGAGGGGAGGGAGGGGAGGGGAGGGAGGGGAGGGAGGGGAGGGGAGGGGAGGGGAGGGGAGGGGAGGGGGGGGGAGGGGAGGGAGGGGAGGGGAGGGGAGGGAGGGGAGGGGAGGGAGGGGAGGGGAGGGAGGGGAGGGGAGGGGAGGGGACGGGGAGGGGGAAAGGGAGAAAGATTGCATAAGTGACATTTCATAGGAAAGTAAGTTAAAAGGAAAAAATACCGATTACATGACAATGACTAATTAATTTTTACATACTGGTTGTAAAAGCTCTATTAGAAAAAGCAAAAACAGGAAAACAGAGGAGGTTTCAGGGGATATTTAAAAGCACTAATAAGTAAGATACTAATATCTTGCATTTTCTTGAAATACATAGATCAAACTGTCTGTATTGAATATCTTATGCCTCGTCTGTAAGGCAGAAGAGCATTACAAAAGTTTTGAATCTTGCACAAGATCAGAGTGAGAGTCCATTGCTGTGTTGACAACAGTACCTCAGTGTTATCAGTGCTATTTAGTGTTAATACCTAAAACTACTAGAAGATAAATATTATAACTTTATTCAATTGCTCTTTCAGTAACAGAGCAAGGACAGAGATAACAACAGGATTATCTATTCAACACATTTGTCAAAACAGGAGAGCAGACAGCTACTTTTTGAAATATTCGTGTATCAGGGAAGATGCAGGTAATTCCTTTACTTTTTATATGTGGTATTGGCCAATAAAAGAGTAATGTAAAAGATCATAATCTTTGGATATTTCTTCAGGTTTCACCTCCAAACTCTACTACATTTCTCCTTCCCTACTTCCAAAACATATTATAGAAAATATGGCTGGAAGTGTTCTCCAAAGTCAGTTTAGCTCCTCCTTTTAACCCATGCCCAGACATAACTGAGAAATATTTGCCTAAAACAGCAACTATCTCCCTTAATGATGGAGATTCAGAGCTTTCCAGGCTATATAATTCAGTGCTTTCATACTTTACCCCTTGATGTGGCCATGAATTTCCCTTACTGCAGTTTAGGTCCATTATCTTTTGTCGTATGCATTGTGAATGCTCTGACAACAAGCTATTACTTCACAGCAAGTCTGTGCATACCTAAGGAATATTTCTCCTGCCTTCCTTTGGAGTTCTATTTTTCAGACTAAATAAACCTAATTCTGCTTTTGTTTTGCTTGCTGATCCCAGTTTCCAGTTATTCTTTTTAATCTCTGCAGAGTACATCCATTTGGACCACATATTTTCTGAAGTATGGTATCCAAAACCGTATGGAACAATCCAGCTGAGACTTCCATTCATCCACATTTTGACATCTCCAGATGTTTTCTTTTGGCTTGATTTAGTCTTGTGCAAGCTCTGTCAGTGTATAAGGACATGAATATTTGGAAAGAAAATAAGGCACCAAATTAAAAATGGAAGGGTTAAAGCATTAGTAGAGGAGTTTGAGAGACCCAAACTGTGAGAAGTGAACAGAATTACAGTGCTAGAAGGTGTTATTATTAGGAAAACCTAGATGTTCATAAAGGAAATATGCAACCTTATTTCCTCCCAATTGCTGCCCTACATTACTGTAAGCATTACAGATGTCCATAAGACCCTTTAGAATTCAAAGACTCACCTGGCACCTCCCGCCTTAAAACCTCAGATCCTGTTCCTTAGAGAAGGCCATCCCCAATGTGATAATACTTGCAAAATTTTTTCAAGTGAAAGTCCTTCAGTGAATCCCTTGAAGTTTGTTCCTCATGCTATGCAAGCCAGCCCAGTGTGACCTTTCCAGGAGCAGAACAATTGTGAAAGCCCCATATAGTAATTTCATATAGATATGACATAGTAAGGAAACTATCTCTGCAAATAAGAGGATGAAGACTGAATACCTTGATTGCTGTTTTCCAAAAGTAGTTCCTGCAAGTCTCTGAAAAATTGTGGGAAATTGTTTTTTCTTGAAAAAACTGTCATTGATTCTCCTTCAATGCAAGTCAGGGATAATCTAGATGGAATGTGTTCCACAGTACAGCCCTGGCTTCTGAAACTCTAGATATTTACATTACTCTTCAACCTCACTGAAAGTTGCTGCTCATGAAGAATTGCAGACAGGATTATGACCAGCCATGCAACGTGGAGCTGAAAAAAAAAATAAAACAAAAACCAATAAATATAAAAATAATAACAATAAATATAAAAATAGAGGGATTTCTGTTAGCAAGGAAATTTTATAAGGCAAATGAAGATATATCAGTGCATTTGTGAATGGCATGGTTTTCAAAATAATCTTAATATGTAACACTGGATACGCACTAATCTTATTCCAACACAAAATCTATGTTTGCTGGCCCCTTTTTATAGGCTCTGGGCAGCATATGTGGTCTGTGATAGGTCTGTGATAATTTCATGATACTGTGATAACTTCATGAATGTGCTCCAGCTACAGTCCCTGGAAGCCAGCTCCAGGATTTGCAGGACCTTCTGTGATGGGAAACCTTGCAGCTTTCAGACCCTCCTTCCTCCAAGAGCCTTCAGACTTACAGTTTTGGTAAAGCTCAGACTGCACTGAGGAATCCAAAATTAGGCAATATGCCTCTTGGATTTCCCTTGTACCTGAGCGATGAGTGACCTCCTTTGCCAGGAATCCAACAACTCAGACAGGAATTCTGTGGGACACCTGTATTACAAAGTAATGAAAAATACTTGTAAAATACTCACCCTCAACTAAATATTAATTGATCAAACCCTATTTAATTGAAAAACTTCAGCCTAAATTTGAAAGAGGTACATTTGCCCTCAAAAGAGGCAATATATATAAATACATATATAGTTGCTTTTCAAAGGTTGTCTTTCCCCAGCAGCCAGGTGTTCTCTTTGCCTCATTACAGTCATGGATGGGCACTGGGAAGTGAGAATGATTCATAATTCTATTCTGCCAACAGCATAGTGGCCCTAATTTTCTGAGTTTTCAAACATTGCAGGAAACATAGCTGTAATGAATTAATATACTTATGACTATGTTTAACTTTGTCTCTATAAAATCCACTGCTGTTCAGAGTAGTGTCGTTCCATGCATCTTCCATGGTGGTTTTGAGCAAAGATAAAAAACTACTGAACTTCCAGTATCTTGTGTGCCATGTCTTCCAGTCTCTTCTAAAATCTCTTTCCATAGCAGCACGCTCTTTCCCCAGACAAGGACTAAAACCATTAAATGTACCTATGTTAGATATAAAATAGCCTTTAGTGAGCGATAGACCTGATTAGATATAAAATTAGCAGGTATTAAGAGAATGCCTGCCAGTGAAGTATGGAGAATATATCATTAAAGAGACAGACTTTAGGTGTGGTTTATGTTCCTCTGAAGTTGATTCCCTTTTTAATTACTTTTTCCACTATGAGAAAGCTAGCAAGGTTCTTCACTGAAAAGACCAGAACAGAGATGCAGAGAAGTTCATCAATCTTCATGGGTGACAGAGGGACAACAGAGGAGTTTCCTACCAGTCACTTTCTCTTCTCCTGGAAGTGTTCTGCTGAAGCTCTTTGCATCGCCTTGCCCTGTGCCACCTCCCACCCCCCAAAAAAGTTAGTGCCACCACTGATGTCACTGTCACCAGCAATCACATGGACACACAGAATTTACTGTGAAATGAGCTCCCACCCGTCCTCATCCCAGGTCTCTGAAGCTGGGTATTTCTTCATTCATTTCCCTTCCTGGAAAGTTCATCTACACAAATCAATCTGATTCTATCTAGAACGTTGATCTACAAAACTGTAATGTTTTATGTCTCCCAGAATCACAAGTTTTCCCTTCCTTTTGCCTCAAATGATTTTTGAAGACCTTCAAGGTCTAAGTGGAATGAGACACTGAATTCTATAAATTGATTCCTGCAGGCAGTAGATGTGTCTTTCTTTTCATTCTGTCTGCTAAAGTGAAGATGCAAAAGATAGCAAGTTCCATTGGGGCATTCTTCTACAAGAAGGTGGTTTCCTACAATATGTCCCATTTTAAAGCCTTTCAGACTCTTTTGATTTTTTTAATGTGAAACAGTTCCTTCAACTTCACTGCAGTTTTATATGTCTTCTCCAAAACACATGCTCAAAACATCCTCTGATTCTTCTTCCTCCCAATTATATGACATTAAGGAGTTAAGATGAGATAACACTTCTGCAAAATGCCTTAGTCTGTTAGGTTCTTTGCAACCCAACATTTTATTGAAAATTATAATCCTGTCCATTGTTCCCATACTTGTACCAGGAAACATCAGTAGCCTCCAGAGCCTAGTTGACACCAGGTGGGTTCTTGAACAGCTCAGAACTCAATGGAAACTGGTAGAAAGCAACAGCTATTGTCAAAAGATGACTGCAGTGCTCTGATTGTACTAACAGAGGAGAAATGATCACAGACTCAGCCCTCTCTTCCTTGTATATTATTGCCAAGAAAATACAAAACAATCCAAAAAATCCAGCAGGTAGCATGGTATGGATTAATTTCCCTGCACACTACAGCTCTCACTTCAGGAGACAAAGTGGTTGGTTAAGGTCCAAGATCCATGCCAAAAGTGATCTCCCTTCACAAGGGAGACAGTGTCATACATTGTTCATTTCTGTTCATTTCTTTGTTTCACTATCCTGTGGTAAAATCCTTGACCCAGTGAAGTCATTACGACCTTTGTCAAGGATTTTAATCTTGCCCTATATTAAGTATCTACTTATAACTAAGGGAAGCTTTCTTGTGCAAGGACAGAGTGTTCCAAAAGTGCCATCTAAGGCTGAAATAATTCACTGAGGAACTGGGAATCATCACAAATCTCATTACCTTCTTGTACAGGGCACTTTGAATTTGCTCTCAGTAGCATGAATAGCAACACATATTTTAAAACAAAACACATTTGAACATAATGAACATTAAAAACAAAAGTTAAGGCAGTGAAGCTTTAGTAAAGCCAGTGGTAATACCAGATAGTGCTGCAGCAAAATTCTTAATAAAAATAGAAAAAAATGAAATAAAGCATACTGCTCCAGTTGTAAAAAGGCCAAACCTTCATTTTGGAAAGGCTTTTCATCTTAAACAAGCTACATGGAACAGTGATTTTGCAGTTGATGAAGACTTTGAAGCAGCAAAACCCTGCTGCATGTGACGAGATGCAGGACAAAATGGTGATGCAAAAATAGAAGGATAAATATAACTAAATGTGCCATGCAGAACACAGAAAGCTGAGGCAGGTGTTGTCATAGCTGTCAGCTTTCAGGTTCCTTCTTTCTTCAATTTTTTCAAATCATATCTTGATTCTTCCATAAAAACCATGGAAAAGAACCAGATATGAGAATTTTTTAAATTTAAATCCATAATTCCAAGTGTTTTGAAAAGCTGTCTAAAACTACTGTATATCCACTAAAAAACAAAAAAAACCTGTGACACAATAATTTTGATTTTCTTTTCAAAGCTTTGTTTCTGAGAAATTAGGAAAGACAAGTATTTACAGAGGAAAAAATAATAGTTTTAAAATATTAAAGCCTCAGTTAAAACACATAAAGATATAATTAAATATTTTATAAAAATTGAAGTACTTCTTACTTGTAAACAAGTAACCCAGAAGAAATTGCAGCATGAAAATACAGAGTTTGCACTTCTTAATGAAGTTTCAGAGGCAAAAGTATCTCAAGTTGTGTCATTTGTGTGGCATGGTCTGAAATGAGAAAATCCCCACCACTGTGAGACTGTTACAAAAATAGCCAGCACTGGAATGGGAGCATCAACTGACTTCAGTAAAGGAGGGAAATACTGGCAAGCTCAAACCTCAACCTCTAGCAGTGATATTCTTGTTTCAAGACTTGGAGGTCTACACACATATCCACCTATTTCTGTCAGAGTCTACCCTTGCTGCAATCTATCCCTGGGCAGAGAGCCAGTGCAAAATCTCTCCAGCACAGAATCCCCACTTGAGCCATGGGTTTAACTGGAACATAATGAAGGGAGTGGCTGAAAATAACCTGCCCTTACAAGGCAATCACATTTCAGGATTCCCAGGCCACAGGGAAAAAGCATCTGTAAACAGCAGGGTCTCTGGGTCCTGCCTTTCCCATCACCTTCTTCTCCTTGGAAAAGGAAACCTCGAGAAACTTCTGTGAAAGCAGCAGTCCCAATGTGGGAAAGAGAACTTTCAGTGGCTTTGTTCTCCCTTGAACTGCCCCTCAGTGGCTATGCCAGCTGTAGGCAAGCAGTGGAGCTCACTTTTTCCCAGTTCTGTACAATGTGAGAGCAGGGGAGTGTGTGCTCCAGGAGCCTCTTTGCAGACGGTGAGTTTTTTTCTCTACGCGTTCGTCTTTTCCGCTAGCTCGTAATCTGCCCCCTAGCTTCCCTGGGGCCAAGGGGAAGAGGATGATCTTTATATAGCTGTCCTCGGGGACTGGGTGAATCACAGAGTAACATGTAATCCCTCTTGCACTCCGCAACTGTAAAACATCCCAGCTGAATATCAAGCCAGGGAAAATAAGTTACAGTTTTACATACAAAAATCAGGGAGCGAAATCACAAGCACAGTTAGAGTTATCAGTTTCCAACGTAAAACTCAAACTGAAAAATTAAACAAAGGGAAAACAACCAGAGGCCGGGAAGGACGCAGAAATCACCTAGAAAGGCCAAGATACCATGCTCTTTATTTTGGCACTTAATTTTTCATAAGTTTTTGAAAAATCATATTCAGTAGTCACTGGGGGAATCTTTTTTTTTTTTTTTTTTTCTTAAATGGAGAAGGCAAGGAGCCATGTTTTTGTAAAAGCTTGGCCACCATGTTTGGTATCTGAGCTGTATATCATGCACTGTTTGTCATTTCACGCCACTTAGAACAAATCCCAGCTGGCTGGAATCCTAGTCCTGTGGACTGTGAGTCATGGATATTAAATGACCATCATGTGAGCTGCTCCTGCATGCTGCTGTGTTTAGTGTGTGGCACTGTAAAGTTGTACAGTATCTTATCACAGAAGATCATCAGCATGCATGCACAATTTGAGCGGGAGCACTTTCATAACAACACAAATTATTTGTTTTAGCAAGAGGCAAGAAAGGAGTAGAGATGAAGCTGGAGCAAAGGTACAATATTTATGTGATTTTTGGAAGACCAGTAAGACACAGAAAATCAGTTGCTGGTTCTGTAGCAGCAGATCTGGGGCAAGAATGGAAAAGGTACTGTCCATAGTGGAAGGCTTTGCAAGAACCTTTAAATCTGCTCAAGGAAATCCCGTCTTTTTGATGCATAATTATAATCCAGTCCAGTCTCACCCGGGATATCCAGTATCCTACCCAGGATAAGGAAATTAAGACAAGCATTTAAGTATTTGTCTCGTAGGAACCAGAACAAATTCTGGGATTGACTAAAATACCAGTCCTATTTCAGAATTTTGAAACAAGCAATGAGATCTTTTTCACTGATGTGATGTGGACAATCCTTGAAGTGGATGGTTTTAGTCTAGCAGAAGCCCAAATCAGAAGATTTACTCAGCAATCCATTTTATGTTAATGACATGCAGGAAATCTGTACTACAAACCAGATTGGAAAAAACTTAGTGCTAGGGGAAAACATTATTTTCAAAGAATACCATTTCATACCTGGATTAGGTAGGTTTATTCCATCCTAGTTATGAGCTGGGTAATTTTCTGCCATCGGTGATAAAATGAAAATCCATTTTAAACAACATACAGGAAAACACTGTAAGAGTTGTATGTGAAAGCCCATTTCCATCTTCAAGTCATTCAGGTTAGAAATCGTTGTTATCCAGTCCAAAGCGTTATCCAGTTCCTGCAGGTTCCTATGAGATTATGTACTATGATCTATCAAAGGTTCTTAGGAGACTAAAATGTTTCAGCTTTCAGTCACAGCTCCAACAAAACTACTTCTCATGCTACTGGTTCCAGCTTAGATCTGTTTTTCTGTCTTTGCATGTGATTTTCTTCCTGGTAGCAGCTACCAGCTTCTTCCCACTATCCCAGCAGTTTCCCCTACCTTTGCTTATGTTTCTACCACGTCACAGCAGTGTAGTTAGCTCTTCTTAGGTCAGCAAAGCCAGGCGTTCATAGCTTGCACTTTTTAACACTTTTCAAGCACTGAGTGCTATAAAATGCATTATATTTCTTGAATTAAGGATCAAAAACTTTGCATTTGAAGTTTGTTCACAGGCCAAAAGAGACAGTTAAAACTCCCTACTGATTCTTTGTACAGAAGCCCAGGATTTTAGAGAAATAAATATGACTTGAATCAAATGAGGAAAATTTACTCACATTGATCCAGACTTAATCAAAATCACCATTATAAGGATATCAGCAAGTTTTATGAGAGGAAGATTAAAGCTATTAATGCACTGAACTCCAGTTACTATGACTGTCAGAGAGAAGTCAAACACTATGTTGGGTAGTGTTAATAAAAACAGCATGTTAAATATACAACTACGTCCCTACAGCTAGCTCCAATCTTCCTTGATTTTTTTTATATTCCTTTATTAATATAGGGGCAAATGTTAAAAATGCTGTTGAATTTGGAAGAGTTTAAGAGAAAACATCTTCAAATACGGAGAAGATTTCATGGAAAGAAAAGACCAAGAGGAAGCAGGGTTATTCATGGACCTATGAATGGATATCAGATAAAAGAAAAATCAGTCTCATCAACCCACTGGGAAGACCAGGAAGTAATAAAATAAAGCATTAAAAAAGAAAAAAGCAGATTAAAAATTAGAGACATTTTCATAACTATGTGAAGGCAAAATAAACCCAGATGCAAATGCATAAACAAGGTGCCAGGAAAAGCTATGAAATTAACTTCACAGGGGATATTCAAGATATTGGTCTGTGGGGAGTCACTCCAGCATAATGAAATCAGAGCTTTCAAGATGCAAAGACATGAACTGAGGAATCCACTCACTACCTTCTAACCCAAATCATCAGAAAGAGATTTGGTGAGCTAAACATTATGTTGACACAAGTTGTCCCCATTTATTACAACCCAGTTTCCTTGAAATACATGGAACAGACAAGTATGCTGACAATGGCGTCATAACCTGAATGTGACAGCAAGGCCAGACATGGGTACCTGACTAAAAGCCATTGCTATTTTTCCAGGTAAAATCTTGCTTTAATTTAACCTGTTTTACTGAAATAATTTCAACACTATGACTTGCAAGCTTACTGAGATAAATTCTCAAAGAATTTAAATGAATAGATGTGATTTGTTTTGTTTCTAGCAAAGATTAATGCTTTTGCATAAGGGTTGGAAAGCAGTTCTACTGTCAGAGGAAAACAGAAGTCCCCGCTGCTCCCTGAAAGAGAGCACAGGCCTGTCAGCCTGATTCTGGTTTTGAAAATAGAAATATTTTCTTCTTTTCTTTACACAACTGTGATAACAATCTGTATGCCAATGTACAACTAAAGTGTCTCCAGGAATTACACTGTTTTCAAGAAATGCATTTTAAACTTATTATAATAGTGTACTCGAGAGCTTGAAATTTCCATGCCCACAGGGCAATATAGCACTACATTTGTGATTTGATGTCACAAGCATGTAGACTTCAGTTTTACAAATACTCTTCAAGAAAACATTTAATTTTTCTCTCCAGGGAAAACATTAAACCCTACCTCAGAAAACTGTACAGAAGGAAGGGAATTTGGTTTGAGATGGCCATGTTTTGGCTTCCAGTCACCAAAATCAAATCTCCTCCCATATGTATTCCAGCTTTAGCTTCATAGCCCTACTGTTCTGAACCTAAATAATAAACCTAGAACATATTTTACCCTTTATACTATGTTCCCATTTGTAACATTCCAGACAGTTTTTCTTATTTTCCAGAATTCTGGAGGTCCATGATGACTTATGGTTTCTAAGGAAATAAGGTTTAGATGATCACAATCTGCCCACTCGTACATTTCTGTTTCCTTCTCTCATTTGAAAAATAACAGAGTATTTTTATTCACATTTGACTGGATGATGAAGATATCGAAGATAAAACACTTCTTTGGGTAAAGAAAAAAGAACCAAGCTGGTTCTGCCAAAGGGATCCAGCCACTGCGTGGTTATAGATGGGAGCCAGGTGGTCAGTCAGCATGTGTGTATTGACAGGGCAACCAGCACCTTGCTTGGTTTTGCCCCTGTCACATCATGTGCTGCCATTCACCCATCTGATTAGGTAAAATTCCCTTCACAAAGCTGGGACATCAGAAATGATCCACTAAAAACCTGCTTCTCTTTTCGGAGAGTCGTGTGGATCCCAGGCTCCAGAAGTACGATGCTGTGCAAGATGAAACAGATCACAGAACTGCCAGAGTTACACAAGTGATGAGCCCTCAGAATTGCCAAAACAGAGGCAGATATCCATAATTATCTAATATCCAGCATTACTGAGGTGCTGTGCCAAATACTCACCCAGAGCACATGCAGGAGTGTGTCTTCAGATCTCTGTTTCTCAGCCAGAATTCATCCTGGTGTGCTCAGCAAGGCACTGCTCAGCCTGGACTGCAAGATAAAGATGTGAGTACCCACAGAAGTGTCCTGCCCAGTGCTGGGCAGTTCAGCACTGTGGGAAACCCACCCAGCGTTCTGGGTAGCTGTGCTGGCAAACAGGCTGAATGGTGGCTTTGTTGCCTCAGCTGTCAAACTCTGTTAGAAGGGAGTTCAGGTATGAATTGCCCCAGCTTCAAATGCATCCAGCTCATTATAACAATCAATGCATACACAGAATTTATTTGTACCTCATCCTGATCAGCCTCAGGTTGTGCTGTGGGAGGCTTAGACTGGATATTAGAAAAAACTTATTCACTGAGAGGGTGGAACAGGCTTCCCAGGGAACTGGTGGAATCACAGTACCTGGAAGTGTTCAGAAATCATGTGTATATGGCCCTTAGACACATGATTTATTTGTGGGCCTGATAGTTTTAGATACTGCTTGGCCTTTTGCAACCAAAACAATGCTAGGATTGTGTGATTCTATAGGATCTAGAAAGATTAAAATCAGTTGAGCAAACATGAACAGAGAGCATTTACAGAACAAAATTCTAAAAGGCTTAAAAGTGCTATCTAGCCAATTGACTAACTAAAACAACACAGTATTTACGTTGACATTTACCCTGTGAGGTTACAAACCACTGCAATTCTCACGTTTTACACACACAACATTGAAACACGATCTGCAGTGTAGATACCCACACATGAACCCTTAAAATTCAGAGGAGGAGAGTGGGCACTTAGAGGACAAGAGCTGCCTAAGCAATTTCAGCCGTCTGCTGCCCAGCTCCTTTCTGGGGCACTGGCAGCACATTAACACCATGCAGTGAGTCTGGAGCTGGCTCTGGCATCCAGAGTGTAGGCACAGCCTTGGTCACAGGGCTGAGAGGAGAGGGGGAGCTGAGACTGACAGCTGCACTACTGGGAGCTGAAGTGAGAAAGGCTAAAGGTGAGGGTCAAATTGCTGTGGGAGCAAGTGTCACGGTATCTGGTTTCAGCCAAGCAAGCTACCTACCTGCACTTAACTCCCTTACACATCCAGCATGTTTGTTAACTTACTGATTTCTATCCACTTCACATACAAACATACCTAAAAGTCACCAAAGTCAAAATATGGGAGTTAATTTTTTCAGTTAGGAGAACTGTGCAGAAAACTTATTAGAAAGTGATTTGCAAATCCAAAGGAATAGTATCTAATTTAACCAAGAATGCCAAGAGATAATCTAGAGTGGGCTTTGTGGTGAAATAAAGTGTTTAACAAGAATGCCTTCAAGAATCTTACTCTAAAAGTTACTGTGTTTCACTAAGGTAGAGCCTATATGAAGGCCATAATGGGATAACCCTTTCAGTGGAAGCAAGTTAACTTCAGCAAGTTAAATGGGCAGGGTTAATGCACTAACTCTGGCTGAGCTGGAGGTCATTTCCCCACAGCAGCCCTCACCAAGATCTGCTCTGTGCTGGTGGCTGGGGAGGTGTTGATACTCACCAGTGCTTTGGGTCCTGCTGAGCAGGGCTGGCACAGCAACAGCCCTCTGCAACCTTCCCCTGTGAGGGGATCCTGTGAGGGGGCACAGCGGGGCCAGCTGACCCAAATTAACCGAAAGGATATTCCATAGCATGTCAGCTCAGATATAAAAGCTAAGTAAAAATGAAGGAAGGGGAGGCATTCCTTATTTACAATGTTTGCCTTATGGAGCAACCACTCCAAGTGCTGATGCCTTGCTTCCCAGGAGGTGGCTGGACATCATTTGCTGATGAGAAGAAGAGGATAAATCTTCTTTTTTCTCTTTGCTTGTGTACACCCTAACTTCCACTTTTGCTTTGGTATACTGCTTTATCTCAACCTATGAGTTCTTTTCCATTTTATTTTCTGTCCCTTGTCCAGCTGAAAATGAGGACTGATAGGGTGGCTGGGTGAGCACCTGACATCCCAACAAGGTCAACCCACCACAGGGAAGAAAGAAGGTGAAAAAAGCAACCTTTCTTTCTAATTTTTAATGGATTAAGCCTGAGCTTTATTTCCTGTGTATTTTAAAACATATTGTAAGAGAATTATGTACATTGCATATATAAATGTATGAGCCATGTAACTCTAACCTGACCTGACATTAGTGAGTTATGAATTTATATGGCTATCACTGGTACATTCCTGACCAACAAATATGGAAAATCCCTAAGCAGAGCCCCAAGGCACCACATCATGTAAAATCACTGCCCAACACACCTTCCAGAGTAGCCAAAGAGCAGCAGAGTAGATCCTGTCAGGAGCTATTCAGGTAGGTGATACTGGAAACAGATGAAAGTGTCTTCTACTGTCTGGTGATAACCAGAAAAGCACTCTGACATGCAGCAAGATGCCAGGGAGGCCCTGGGAGCAAGATATCCTGACAAGCTCACAAGACAATCAGAGACTCTATGCAGAGAAAGATTTTTACAAATGTCCCACCTTTGTAGTCCTGAGGAACTTGAGAGAAAAAAGCATCCCAAGGGGTCCAACTTAACTGTGTAGGCTTTGTTACCATGTGAGAGATGGTGGGGACAGCAGGGAGACTGAACAGCGAAAATAAGCATACCATGTTTGTTCTGAGGAGCTTGGCCCAGGAAAAAATGGATTGTTCTTAGAGAAAGGTGTTGATAAATAAACAGAATCCAGCCATCAGTCTCATCATGAGCTTAAGCACAAAGGCAGAAAAGGAGTCTGAACTGAGAGATATATCTGGCACACACCATGTACCCCTGAGGCCACCCCAGATAAATGAAAGGTACTCCAAACTGAGACACTCAGCTGAATTTCAATTCACATATCAACATCAGTGAGAGCAGATCAAATGCACAGACGGCGGGAGAGTTTCTGTGGCAGAATTGGATTGCAGCTGGGATGAAACAACCAGGAATGAGGAGAAAGGAGGCCAACCACCACAGAGTAGTACTATCACATCTGCCTTACATATGTTCTGGAAAAGGTGATTCCAGGCTGCTTACAGCTTTTTTCAGCTGTCTAGAAATGTGTATGGGTTGCTCTGCACAGGTGCTGGCAGCAGGGTCTGCAGAGCAGCCTCTGTGAGGAGTGGCTGGGCTGCTTCAAGTCAGACACAGCCCATTCCAGATGGCTCCAATGATCCCACCACAGGGCATGGGTGAGCCCAGAAACCAGGATTGTGACATCTTGGGGAGGAAGGTGTCCTTTCCAAGATGAACCATTTTGTGATTT